TTTTTTTTAAAACCTATTTGTCTACATAAAATTGGTAAGTAAGACCTTTAAACTCAAAATGCATATGCTTCCAACATGCTGAAATTGTAAACATATTTGTTTGTTTATTATATTTGTTTCAGATGTCACTACTAGTTGTAACTGATGGCACAAGGATTGCATTCTTCTGTCTCAGTGCATTCTATTTTCAGTGTTGCACTTGTGCTTACATTTTGATGTAGCAGTTCTGTATCAAGGTGTCAGTTAAAAAATATACGACTATTTTAAAACTTTCTATGATTTAATGTAAATCATCAGAGTGAAAAGTTTTTTTTTTCCACTCCTAACTAGGGTTGTGACAACCTTAGTTAGGAGGTGTGTATTTTAGTGGGTCATTGCCGGTATACAGTTTTGGTCGGACTTCTGCATGAAAGAAAAAGCCCTGTAAATGCAAAAGTCTGTCTGACTTAGTGAGTGAGGAAGTTACACCACTGATTGGATTGGGTGATAACATGACTGTTGAGGTTTCCCCATTGGCCGTTGCTCTCTCTCTAAATGAGTATAGGTGCTGACAGGCTGACAGAGAATGGCTAGCCCTTTTAACATTTAATTAGTTGCAGTAATAGCAATTGTGCATATCAATAATTGCTTTTTGACCAGTTAGAATTCCAAGCCAAATTATCCTTAATGTAAGTTTGACTGGTATCAATTCTAATTAAATGTATTTACAATTCAGTTCTCACAAGTGAAAATGTTGATTCTTGATATCAAAAATTAATTTCTTACCTATGGAAATGTTCCTTGTAGATATCTGTAACTTAATTACAACTAGTCAACTTTAACCATTGTCTTCTACTCAAACTCAATGAAAGATATCTATGATTAAATTTTGACATTTTTGACTATTTGGACAAATTCCAAGTCAGTTTCTCACTAGTGGAAATGTTGATATCAGCAATTCAGTTCTTAGTAGTGGCAATGTTCATTGTAAGATACCTACAATTGTTCTTCCACAACAAATATCATAAATAGAATTCTAGATATAGTTGAAATTTAACACTAATGTGTCAAAATTAAATGATTGTCCGCTTAGAACTGTAAGTAGTAAGAATGTAATTTCAGATATGTAGTATCGCATTTCAGGAATCTAAAATACACTTGTAATGAAAAGAAATTACATTGTAACAGTAACAATTATATTTGAGATATTTAGTTAGAATTGAGTTTTAGATATCAAAAAAGGAATTTCTACTTGTCATCGTAGATATCTTCAGTGACATACATACATATCAAAAATTAATATACTAGTTTGGGCTACATATCCGAAATGAATATGGTCATTTAGAAGAAGACCAACGTACTTGGAGGTTTAGTACAACAATAATGGTCATTTGAGAGAGAGAGAGGAGGGAGAGAGATTTTCTATTGTAAGGACTCTAGAAACCCATTTTCCCTGAGATATATTGAGGTGAGAGGTAAAGAGACCCCTTTAACCAGTTTTAGCAAAACTCATACCAAAATGACCAAAAAGTTTTCTGTAGGTTGATTAGACCTTATTGATTACATTACATTATAATGCTTGAAGATAATTTTGAATGAAGGGTTTGAATTATTGCATGTGATAATTATCAAATTCTAGCCTAGCAAGAGTAATGCAACAACAACAAATAAATAACCCTCTGGGGGGGTTGGGGGGCATGCTCCCCTGAGAGAAAAATGTGTATATATTTGATTTAAAGGCATCAATCTGGTGAATTCTGAGAGCAAAGTTATGATGGCAGAATATGCCTAGATTTCAACGTCTTTGTGCTTTTTATGTGTGAAAAATGTTCTATTTTTACTGATAAAAACACTAGTGGTAGGCCTATGTTATGGTGAAGGGTTACACTTAAAATACGGCTAAGGATTAGTGGTTAACAGTGTTGGGCAGTAACTGACGTTACTAGTAACGTGTTACAGTAATAATATTACTTTTCCCAGTAACGAGGGGTGTAGTGAGTTATTAATCAAATTTCAGTAATATTACAGTTACTTACCCCCCAGAAAGCTCGCTACTGCGTTACAATGGGGAACAGCTGATATTCCATTACTATTGTGAGCAGTGAGCACCACTATCCACCAGACGCGATAGTCAGGTGATAACCATCATTCAAATAGGGTGTTTCAGCGGCGTCTAGGGGTTTTGGCGCTTGTTGAGTGCGACCTCCTACGCAGCTGCAATAATCAGTGTAGTGCACCAAGGTGGTTTCTATTCCATAATAAACTACATTCACTCAGACAAAATAAAAGCGTGACACCGTCCGTCATCGTAGAGAGCACCGTCTATTTATTTTTCACATGTGCACTTGCGCATACATCTCTGTCAGTTTCAGTGGTCAGTTTACCTACTTTGGCCTATAGCTTGACTTATGCTGCCATGTAGTGGCCATATGGCGACATTTCCACTATAATGATTATAGCAAACTGAAACATGACTTTGTCAACAGTGCTACACTTCCAAAACCAGGTGGAATACCGGTGCGTTTTTTAATATAACGACCGCTCAATACAATGCTGCAGTAAATGTGTATATATAAACTGTTTTCAGATTTATATCTATGATTTCATGCAGAGTAGCCATTTTGTGAAACTGAAAATAGAAAATAGGAACACTGGAAAATAAATGACTGAGATTCACACTGGGGCGTACTGGGAAAGTAATATATTACATAAGTAACTAGTTACTTTTGGCTGGGAGTAATAAGTAAAGTAACAATATTACTTTTAAAAAGGGTCATTAGTAATAAGTAATATATTCAATTTTTTGAGCAACGAGCCCAACACTGGTGGTTAAACATTTCAGTAATCAAAAGAAAAATGACTAAAGTACTGATCTGCCTCTGGAGGGCCAGTGTTTCCCCTATATGTAACTATATGACCACCGCTGCTGACTTTTATTTTTATTTTTATTTTTATTTTTATTTTTTTCGTCTTAGCTCTTCAGAAACTACCATTATATTATTAGGCGCTATGGACGCTTCATATCCAGGTCTATAGAACAGGCCTTGTCCTTTTATTTTAAACAAACTAAATAGCTTTGTGTTATTTATCTTATTTACATGACGGCATGTCATTTCTGTCTCTACATGGTCCCATGTTTACAATTCACCTCTGCTCTCTGTATCGCACATGGGGGAGTTTCGCCCCAGTGCCCACATACACACACACACACACACACACACACACACACACACACACACACCCCCACAGGTGAGCACACTAGAGTGCGGCTCCACCGCATTTTCCTGACCCAACCCTCAGCACGGCACTAATGGAGCAGAGCCTGTGTTGCGTTCAGGATTGCCATTATCATGCAAATAACAAAGCCAAAGAATTCTCAAATTAGACAGGGCCGCCATAGTCTCGTCATTGTATGGGAAACACTGTTCGCTCACCTCTTCTGTCAGCTAGCAGTATCGTCCTGTCAGCTGAATTCAAGTTTTCCACTTTCTGCCGACACATCAGGTAACTTCCTGCGTGTCGTTTCAAAATAAAAGCTGGCTGGTGTGTGAATGTGTTTACCATGCTGTTTGGGGCTTCTTCTGTTTTTTTCTCTTTGAAATTTTTACCGAGGTCCGGACCTCGGTGACCTCATAGCTGGCTACGGCCATAGTCAGACTAATTGGAAAGGCAATTGTTGATCTCTGAAATGGGTAAATACATTTCCACTAGTTGCAATTCTTTTCCAATGTGTGGAAATTCAGCGATAGATAATTGTTATTCTTACTAGTGTAATAGGAGTTACTGATCTCTAGGCCTATAATTAAATTAAAGATTTCTGTAAATCAATTTTGACAAGTCAAAATAATTTTGACATGTGAGAATATATTTGTAACATGTGAAAAGTGTTTTCCACATATCTTAAATGAACATTAAAATGTCCACTATAGCTCAAAACCTTTCCACTTATAAAAACTAAATTGCTAGTCGGTCTTACTGGTTAAATATTAAAAGGGCTTGCCACAGACAGAGCGTGGACGCTGACAGTCGAGTATTCCTAATTTTCTGTAAGCAGTGTGGCATGATAACATGGTGGCATTAACAAACCAGACAGCTAACTAGCAAGCCCTACATGAGTAAATTTAACAACTTAAAACTTTATCCACCGCACTTGTCACAGTGTGGGAAAGCACACTGCTATTGGCTGGTAAGATGTACTGCCAAATTCACAAAAACGACAATGGAGACGACTTATGAAATGAACATTCAGTTCACAGACAACAGCTCTGGTGGACATTCCTGCAGTCAGCAGACCAATGATATGTTCCACCAAAATTTGTGACACCTATATCATTGTATTGTGTGATCAGACTGCACATGATGCTGTTTAATCAGCACCTGCCAGGTAGATGGATTATCTTGGAAAAGGAGAAGTGCTCACTGACACGGAGTTTAACACATTTGCGACCAAAAAATGACAGAAATATATCTACTGAAAGCATAATAAAGTCTTAGAACGTTAACTTAAACCTGTGATAAGTGACGCAAAAACAAGAATGTTGCGTTTTAAGTTTTGTTCAGTAGATATGCACTGTTTTAACGCATTCACTAAAATGAGTTAACCGTTAATGAAAAATAAATTACCGATGACTCATGTTTTTGTTGAAAAAAAAAAGGTCTGTTAAGACCATTTATTGTCGTTATTACAATTAGGTGGTTATTCACGGTCTTATTCTCTGTCCATTTGAATAGACAGAAAATTATACAGTCAGGTAGGCCTAGTTACCCTAATCATTTCTGGTTAATGATTTGTGAGTGTATTCAAAGAAGAAATCCACGATTACAATATGTTTTTGTGTTCGGAGAATAATTGGGTTCTGAAGGGGTTAAGGCAGTCTATTTGAAAAAAGGCAGAGCGAGAAATAAAGATCTGCGGAGTCTCCGATAGGCTGCGCTTTCCCTGTGCACTCATGCGCGCGACCCAACTCCGTCGTGAGCGCGCGGCTGAAGCAGCAGCAGCAAGCAGTTCTGAGAGAGCGCGGAGCGGTGCGGGCAGTCAGTCAGCAGTCCGTCAGTCTCGGAGCGGCACTGCTGGTTTGGATGGTACTCAGCAGGACGGACTTTTTCCATCAGGATATTCAACAGCATGGCCGGGTGAGTGTCGCGGGTAAAGCCGCAGTCCCAGCTGAAATACGGGAGCAAAGTTAGAGGTGTGCGGAGAAACGTGCGTTGTGAATGCGGGGGACGGGTTTCCACAGCCAGTGACGGTTTTCCTTTTTACATCTGCAAGACAGCGTGAGACGAGGTGGGTGACCCGAGCCGTGTAACATCTATAATAGGCCTGCTACCATTCGTGGTGTGCTGCAGCTGTGAGCTCTACGCAGCGCTGAGCGCTGGCAAACAGTGTGGAGGGAAAACAAATGAGCGGTGACTGCTGATGAACAGCGGGCTGCGGAGCTCCAGCTTCAGCTGCATGGGACAACAGAGAGTCCGGTCCTGCTGCAGCCATCCGGAGCTGTCATTGCTTTCTCCTTGCTTTACAACCTGCATTATTATGGTAGCCTATCCAATAGTTCTAGGAGCGTTTAGTTTCATCCATGTCATCCATGTTAAATGGAGGCAGGTGCATCTCTGCGTTATCGATTACGCATTATACAGCAACTTCATTATCTGTTACTGATAAAAAGAAGCCACTTAAAGCATACCTTCCCTAGAAATTACCTCCATAACATCGTAGCCTACAGTAGGCCTATGGCACAGGAATGCTCTGGGAGCTGAATGACGAAATTATAATTAGTGTGCCATTTCATCAGCTGGAAGCACTTAGGAAAAAATCATTGAATATCCTTTGTCACAGTGAGGGACTCCTTCAGGCTGAATGGCTGTGCAGGCATGTTAGAGTTCAGATGTGCATGTGTGTGTTGCCGCAGACAGAGTGATGGAAGCAACAACTGGGGCTGGTCTGAAGTTTCCCATGGGCATTCAGAGAAAGCAAGTGTGCATGTAGCCTACATAGTAAGGATGTGTGCGTGGGTGAAAAGGGAGGCTGCGTCACAAAGGTTACCAGCAGTCAGTGAGGGGCTGCTCTGTCAGGGTGGAGCTCCATTAACTGTCATTTTTACTGCCAGCTCTCTGCAAAAGCCATTAGGATGGAGGAAACAGTGATTTGAGATGAGACTGAAGGGGACATTTAGTCTATGGCCCCGCTGTGCGTACCTGTTTACCACATGCTCACACACCACAAGCACACACATACATGTGCGCATACATCTGCTGCTAAGTGTGTGTGAGTGCGTGGATACTTCCTCTTCTCACCTTTCTCAGTCAGGCAGGCAGCCAACCAACCAACCATACAGCTGTCTATTCACTTGCTGTGCCTGCCTGTGTTACACCTCCTCCCCCCCCTCCTCCTCACCTCTCTCCCCAACACCTCCTCCTCTCTCTCCTTCTCATCACCTCTTATCCCAACACTTCTTCATCATCTCCTTCTCTTTCACCTGTTTTGCACAGGCTGATTGGAAATGGCCTACAGTTAATGTGTATCACTGCAGCCCTTTTTGCTGCAAAAATGGAAGATATTCCCTAACCTCCACTGGCTTTTTATTAGACAAATACCAAAGAAAATCGCAAACTAAAAAATATAATCATTTAGCTTGTGTTTTTCTATATGGTTAATTTATATTTATATCTCTTCTATTCTATCTCTCTCTATCTCTATCTCTTTATATTTAAGCATCAGGGATGTAACTCTCTGAATGAATGCTTTTGTTCCTGGAAATAACCTGGCTTTGACTTAACTGAGGCCATAAAATGTTGCTGTGAGCTTTTGCACCCAAATGACATAATATTGCTAAGGAAGGCAACCATGTCATGGCAGCTGTGTTGTTCAGGACTCAAGGAAGCACAGTGTCGAGTGGGAAGTTATTTGCATGAGCGGTTCTTGAGAAAGTTGCAGGCAGCAATAGCAAAGGCCAAACACCCGTTCCAAACAGGCATGTTCTGAACAGGCATGTTCTGAACAGGCACGGCAGTAGTAGTTTTATTGAATTGGTGGAACAAACACATATGTGAGATAAGAAGAGCTGAGGTGAAACTTAAACTTCAAGAAAACCTCATTCAACTGAAAATCCAGCTGTGGAACATAACCGTGTTAGATACTGTATCAAATTGTAAATGTACAAGAAAAACAACAACAATAAAATATTATTGTTACAGCAGCCTTCAATGCAAGCTAGTAGTACAGAAGCTAGCCTGGCGATGATGTGAGGACTTAGGCCCTTTATTATCAAGCTAGAAAAGGTTCCATCATAATGGTGTTCTTAAAGATGTTCACCATGGTACCCATATTTAGACAAAGAGGTTGATATGAGTTTCATTTCTTTGTCTCCACATAAATGATCAGGATGTATTGAGCCTAAAAAGTAAAAAAAAAAATAAAAAAAAATCATAAAACATTCAACTATAACAAAGTACAGCTTCTATAAAGATTTTTACTGTTGTAATTTGTTTATATAAATTGTAGATATATATATATATATATATATATATATATATAAAGCTGTGTTATTAGGAGCTGATAGCACTGAAATGATTTCTTAACCAACAAGCGACAGGTGCAGTGGCCACATGCAGGATCTCAAAAGCTGAGTTTTATGCTGTATTCACCTCCACATCGTAAATATCAGTGGCCAAATGGAAAAAAAAATTAAGTGAGCCTCCTTGTTGAGCAGAGATATGGGCATTGTCTGACAGCGACACTTGTGCCATTTCCACTTCCTCTTGAAGGTGGGAATTTCATACCGTTATGCTGCCTCTTGGTTCTGTATAAAAGGTACAATCATGGACTGGGGGAGTGAGCGGTCTCACCTTTAAGCCGGCATTGGAGGAAGTAACAGTGACGAAACAACGTCTGTATTAACGGGACAGCTGGCACAGCAGAACCATGGGCGGGACGGGTGTGATGGTTTGAGGATTTGTTATGTGTGTGACCCACTGGAGATTTAAAAAGTAGCTGTTAGCAGTTAGCGGCTAACCCAAAGAAGTAGAACAGTGGCCGAAAATATCTGCAAATTAGGAAAACAATGAGTTCCGGGAACTCCTCACTCTCTGAGCAGAGGACAAGATCAGCTGCTGTACAACAGAGATGGTAAATTATGTTTCTGTTTAGAAAGCGCTACTGACGCGTAAGTTATATGTCACACTAAAGGCCAACCCTGTGGTATTACATGTCATGCCTCTTTAACTTCCGTGATGCTGGCATGCTGTCTAAAATCAAACACTGGAGCAGCATGATGTGCTGAAAATGTTTGGTCCTGTGTTAGGTTCTGTGTAAAAATACATACATAAAGAAGGGACTTAGTAGCGACTCTATAGCGCCATCTCTGTGTAAAAAGGGCTATTGTCACCCACTTAGTGAAAAGCAATACAGAAGTATCAACAACCAAGTAGCAAAATGGCTGTAACAGCTCTCCTACATAGGAGCTTTTGCTATTAGCTAATTCAGGTTATTTGTATGGGGTGACTACATGGCTAGCAGTGGGGCTAAATATCTTGGAATAACGTGGAAAAATGCTACCAGGTTTTTCTTTTCCTCCCTCTCTGCTGACTATGTATAAATTTGAATTACATTAGCATCTCTGTCCAACAATACACAAAATGAAAGTAAGTTTTTTTTCTTCAAATGTGATTTATATTAACATTTTTTCAACCTCCTTTAATAAAGCTAGGCTTACCTAGGTTTCCCCATGTCTCTGGTCTTTGTAAAATATTCAAATTGTAGACACCATGTTTATTTGGCTGCACCATTTCATCAAAAATGTAAAGCATGTACATGCTTGTGTATGATTTTAATTTCACTTCTCCAAACTTCAGCCTGAAATGTCTGATATCTTTTGAAAGACCAGTGCTGGGCTGCATAACATGAAAACCTACTGTTGGATCTGGCAGGGCTGAAGAGATTTGCTCCCATCAGTTTAACAGAACCTACTTTGATGTCTATTGTCAATTTAACTGATAGATGTTACGGCATGAGATTATGTGAGTCTTGTGACTTCACCCTCTTATAGTTGCATGTAGCCTATCTAGATTCTTGCTGCATCACTGCAGATAATATGCATGAGATTTTGCAGAGGAGCTGCTGTATCACCGCTGCTTGCAGTGGCTGACCTCCCTGCTGAGCACACTGACCTCCACATGGAAGAGGAGAAGGGGGAGGGGGAGATGGAGGCCCTCCCTTCGTTCGTTTTTGTTCTCCGTCTCCCTGAGTGCCTTGCTCCACAGGCTGCTTGCTTGAAAATGGCATCGCTGCAATCCCTCCTCCGCCTCCACCCTCCCCCTCGCTTTTCCTTCATCTCTGGTCTCCTGAGGGCTTTGTGAGCGTCTGTTCGTGCCAAATGCCAGCACTATGCAGCCCCCCCTTCTTTTCTCTCTGTATGAGAGAAAGAGGGAGAGGGAGAGAGTTGGGGAATTTCTTTGGTTCCCCCTCTTCATCCAGACTGGGGGGTTGGGTTAGTCCCTGCTGTTTGTGCAACTGGCTTGTGTGTGTGTGTGTGTGTGTGTGTGTGTGTGTTTGAATGGACCTGCTATTGTTGTCAGCGACTCCTGGAATGCTGTTGAAAGATGGTTGTGTCGGTCCAGATGCCCAGAAGTATTGTCTGTCTTTGCTGTTCTCATCTCTGTATCGTCCTGTTTTTTTGCTTGTGTTTTTGACAGCCTGGCCACACTGTCATCCTGCTCACCACTCTTAGCACACTGTCTGCATGTGGTCAAAAAGCCAAACACCATGTTTTGCATCTGGAAAGTCCATAACCTAGATTTGGCCTTGTTCCTAAGACAATTTCAAGAAGCTGTGTCAGTTTGCCATCAATAAATTGTGTCACTCTTCATAGTACACAGTGTGCCAGCAGTCTAGATTTAGAGAGAAATGTACTTTGTACAGCATGTCACAAAATGGGAAGAGGGCGTTAGTCTTCCCAGAGCTGTGGAATTGAGACTAATGCCCCACGAATATGGGATTTTTGAAACCGATATTGATTTTAGAGCAGAAAAATTCAGTAATTGCAGATATGGTGGCTGATATAGTGAGTTTTTGAGCTGCAATGAAAATAGACCTTTTCTGTTTGGATTGTGCACTGATTTTGCACTGATATAACCAT